ATATTACAGAACCTTATGGGGGGAGATCATAAGGATCATAAGAATATTACAGAACCTTATGGGGGGGGATCATAAGAATATTACAGAACCTTATGGGGAAGGATCATAAGAATATTACAGAACCTTATGGGGAGGATCATAAGAATATTACAGAGCCTTATGGGGGGGATCATAAGAATATTACAGAGCCTTATGGGGGAGGATCATAAGAATATTACAGAACCTTATGGGGGAGGATCATAAGAATATTACAGAGCCTTATGGGGAGGATCATAAGAATATTACAGAGCCTTATGGGGGAGGATCATAAGAATATTACAGAGCCTTATGGGGAGGATCATAAGAATATTACAGAGCCTTATGGGGGAGGATCATAAGAATATTACAGAGCCTTATGGGGGAGGATCATAAGAATATTACAGAGCCTTATGGGGGGATCATAAGAATATTACAGGAGGGGGATCATAAGAATATTACAGAGCCTTATGGGGGAGGATCATAAGAATATTACAGAGCCTTATGGGGGGGATCATAAGAATATTACAGAGCCTTATGGGGGGATCATAAGAATATTAGAGCCTTATGGGGAGGATCATAAGAATATTACAGAGCCTTATGATCATAAGAATATTACAGAGCCTTATGGGGAGGATCATAAGAATATTACAGAGCCTTATGGGGGGAGGAATTTTATAAGGAATATTACAGAGCCTTATGGGGAGGATCATAAGAATATTACAGAGCCTTATGGGGGGGATCATAAGAATATTACAGAGCCTTATGGGGAGGATCATAAGAATATTACAGAGCCTTATGGGGGGGGGAGGATCATAAGAATATTACAGAGCCTTATGGGGGGATCATAAGAATATTACAGAGCCTTATGGGGGGGATCATAAGAATCATTACAGAGCCTTATGGGGAGGATCATAAGAATATTACAGAGCCTTATGGGGGGATCATAAGAATATTACAGAGCCTTATGGGGGGGATCATAAGAATATTACAGAGCCTTATGGGGGGATCATAAGAATATTACAGATATGGGGAGGAATATTACAGAGCCTTATGGGGGGGGATCATAAGAATATTACAGAGCTTTATGGGGGAATATAAGAATATTAGAGAGCCTTATGGGGAGGATCATAAGAATATTACAGAGCCTTATGGGGGGATCATAAGAATATTACAGAGCCTTATGGGGGGAGGATCATAAGAATATTACAGAGCCTTATGGGGGGGATCATAAGAATATTACAGGGGGGGGAGGATCATAAGAATATTACAGAGCCTTATGGGGGAGGATCATAAGAATATTACAGGGGGGGATCATAAGAATATTACAGGGGAGAGCCTTATGGGGAGGATCATAAGAATATTACAGAGCCTTATGGGGAGGATCATAAGAATATTACAGAGCCTTATGGGGAGGATCATAAGAATATTACAGAGCCTTATGGGGGGGGGAGGATCATAAAATAATAGAGCCTTACAGAGCCTTATGGGGGGGGATCATAAGAATATTACAGAGCCTTATGGGGGAGGATATATTACAGAGCCTTATGGGGAGGATCATAAGAATATTACAGAGCCTTATGGGGGAGGATCATAAGAATATTACAGAATATTACAGAGAATTTATGGGGAGGATCATAAAGAATATTACAGAGCCTTATGGGGAGGATCATAAGAATATTACAGAGCCTTATGGGGGAGGATCATAAGAATATTACAGAGCCTTATGGGGAGGATCATAAGAATATTACAGAGCCTTTCATAAGAATATTACAGAGCCTTATGGGGAGGATCATAAGAATATTACAGAGCCTTTATGGGGGGGATCATAAGAATATTACAGAGCCTTATGGGGGATCATAAGAATATTACAGAGCCTTATGGGGGAGGATCATAAGAATATTACAGAGCCTTATGGGGGGATCATAAATATTACAGAGCCTTATGGGGAGGATCAGAAGAATATTACAGAGGGGAGGATCATAAGAATATTACAGAATGGGGGAGGATCATACATTACAGAGCCTTTATGGGGGGGATCATAGGAATATTACAGAGCCTTATGGGGAGGATCATAAGAATATTACAGAGCCTTTTTATGGGGAGGATCATAGAATATTACAGAGCCTTATGGGGGGATCATAGGAATATTACAGAGCCTTATGGGGGGATCATAAGAATATTACAGAGCCTTATGGGGATATCACAGGGGGGGGAACATAAGAATATTACAGAGCCTTATGGGGGAGGATCATAAGAATGTAACAGAGCCTTATGGGGAAGGATCATAAGAATATTACAGAGCTTTATGGGGGAGGATCATAGGAATATTACAGAGCCTTATGGGGGGGGATCATAAGAATATTACAGAGCCTTATGGGGGAGGATCATAAGAATATTACAGAGCTTTATGGGGGAGGATCATAAGAATGTAACAGAGCCTTATGGGGGAGGATCATAAGAATATTACAGAACCTTATGGGGGAGGATCATAGGCATATTACAGAGCCTTATGGGGGGGATCATAAGAATATTACAGAGCCTTATGGGGGAGGATCATAAGAATATTACAGAGCCTTATGGGGGGGATCATAAGAATATTACAGAGACTTATGGGGGAGGATCATAGGAATATTACAGAGCCTTATGGGGGAGGATCATAAGAATATTACAGAGCCTTATGGGGGAGGATCATAAAAATATTTCAGAACCTTATGGGGGAGGATCATAGGCATATTACAGAGCCTTATGGGGGGGGATCATAAGAATATTACAGAGCCTTATGGGGGGATCATAAGAATATTACAGAGCCTTATGGGGGAGTATCATAAGAATATTACAGAGCTTTATGGGGGAGGATCATAGGAATATTACAGAGCCTTATGGGGGGGGGGAATCATAAGAATATTACAGAGCCTTATGGGGGAGGATCATAAGAATGTAACAGAGCCTTATGGGGAAGGATCATAAGAATATTACAGAGCCTTATGGGGGAGGATCATAAGAATGTAACAGAGCCTTATCTGGGAGGATCATAAGGATATTACAGAGCCTTATGGGGGGGAATCATAAGAATATTACAGAGCCTTATGGGGGAGGATCATAAGAATGTAACAGAGCCTTATGGGGAAGGATCATAAGAATATTACAGAGCCTTATGAGGGAGGATCATAAGAATATTACAGAGCTTTTAGGGGTGATGAGGTGAATTTTATTATGGCACCAACAAAATCTTCCAAGAGTTCTCTCCCCCCCTATTGGTAGGTTTGTTTGGTTTGCTAATACCTTGGGGATTATTAATCCACGTGGTATTAACGAACTCTTTTCATTCAACTAATTTATTCATGTTTTCTCGTCACCATATTCTCACCAATGGCATAGCTCCATTTTCTGCATATCAACCCACACATAACCCACCATTCCTCCAATCACTCTGAAGAAAGGCTAACGCTCGGTTAACTCTTTATGGTGGCCAATTTACGTTTTCAACTCAATTGTTAACACTAAATTACCTGTTGCACTCTCACACCAATGCAGCATCACAGTTTCTTTAGAAACGTACCCCCTGTGTACATAAACTTTGATATTTCTGATAACTATTGATAATTGCCACGAAAATTATCTGCATTGTAAATTTTCAGATCAGTTACAAAGGACGAGAAATTCACTACAGATCCCGTGGAAGAGTGCACTCCTTGAAAGAACTCTGGGTGTTTGATGCCACTGCCTGGGACTTAGAGAGTGGAATAAGCATGGAGGCTCGTCATTACCCGAACAGTCACGAGGCTGTGCAACATGCTGTGGAAAAACTCAAAGAAAGACTAAGGATTAAAGGACTGCTACCTGAGTAGTGAAACGACGCACGCGTTCATCTCGAACAGAATCAATACTTGTCTCCCTCTCCCTTGTAAGTGTCGTGAACTTTGTCATGAACAGCTGAAAAGACGTAACTTGTTGAGTCGTGACATTTCATTTATTTGCGATTTTTTTTCCGTCGAGTGTTGCGAAAGGCCTATCGATATATACTTTAGTCGATGAGATTTTTTAAGCGAAAGGTTCCTGAAAAGTTACCATGATGATAACGGCTTGTGGCAGCCAGGCGTTCATAGCAAAAATTTTGGAGTTGTGATCAGTTAGAATCTGATGATGTATCTTATTTTGTATTTCCCTGAACAGCCCCGGCTGAGGAACGATTATGATAATGATGATGATAATCATCATCATTGTTAATATTTATCAGATGTAATGTTGTTATCATTATTATCATTATCGTTATTATATACAAAAATTAAATTTTGGTGGAATTAAACATGGAAGTTATGTTCCACAAGAAGTCATTCGTTATTTGTTGAGAACACTACGTGTACAATCGTCTTTTACGCCACATATTTAACATATAGGGTTTTACTGACGGTCTCAGCGATTTGCAAAGTATATTGTAAAAGCAACAGAATGTAATCTCTCGGAAAAAGATGTTATTACTGAAGCAAAAGCAGCCCGACCTCCCAATCAGTTTTGGAGAAAAAGCAGTTTATCGCAGTGTGTATATACAATGTTTTCCATAATCAGTTACCAACAAATCACCATTGAAACAAATTGTCATACTCCAGGGTGTTTGGATTACTTGATCAAAGGATGACAGAAATGTTCCATCCTGTGTAAACATTTGCAGTCTTTTATTGCCACCGTCACAGACGATCAGGTTATCGAAAGCATCAACAACAAGACTTATAGGATACATGAGTTGTCCTTTACCAGACCCCTCGCTGCCAATGTTAAAAAGAAACTTTCCTTCTCCATCGAACACCTTGACATGATGAATCTCCCAGTAAGATACAAAAAACCTGTCACGATGATAAAAAACACAACTGGGAACAGCGTTGCAATCGGGGGCACTAAAGGATTGTAGCAACTTCGCACCGTCTGAAGAAAGGACCTTGATTTCACGGTCACCTTCATCGCACACGATCACGTGACCATCGCGATCAGTTTTTAACAAACAAACTTCCGGGATCAATCACGTGTCCGCTGAACTTTTTGATAAACTGACCATCATTAGTGATAAGAGACATTTTTCTCGAAAACAAATCGCCATGAATGACAATCATGTCACTACTTCGTAAAAATGCCACTGACCACGGAGGACCAATCTTAACAGCGTTTTCAGTTTGTGGTCCTGCTACACCTTTCCTCGTCATCAGGTAATTCAAGTCGGTGTCAAACACCTGAAATCGTTTTTTATCGAATTCTGCCACGGTAATATTTCCTGTTTTTTCATTCTTTGCAATACTCGCTGGTCCCTTTAACTTTCCTCCCGTTTTTCCACGTGAACCACATGACGTCACTACTTTGTACTGATGTGGCTTCACATCAACTCTCCAGGAACTACCGGTCAGCGGCCATCCATTAATCTCGATGTCAATTTGGTATGGACCAACGCTCCTTGGATTGTAATGTACTGTATAAATACCATCCTTCTCATCTATGATGTGCACTTCCTCTGCTCCTGACATTGACTCAACAAAGACTGTAACTTGTCCTTACTCGCTATAAAACTGTTTTCCTTCTGAATCTTTAGTAATGACAATGAATTCAGCTTGGGCGCCCAAATCGGCTTCATTCAAACCCTTTCCTTGAGCTACTGATCGTGAATGATCACTTACAACTATTTGATCCAAAGACTGCTGAATCATTTCTTACAAAGCCGTCATGTTTGTGGTATCTACAACGTAACTGATATCATCTGGTGTGTAGACTTTCATTTTCTGGCAGCGGCTTAAAAGCTCTTTACAGGGGGTGAATACAATATTTTCGTCCTCCAGAATTTCCACAGCATTGTCTCTTTGAAAGATACCTTCGCTTCGTTCAACCGACTTCCTCAATTCCGAAGCGAATGTTTCCAGTTTTTCAAGTCGTGCCATATGATTTTTTTCCTGTTTTTCGTCAATTTCAGTCAACTTTACCTTTACCACATTTTCGTGATCTCTCAGAACTTGAATAAGCCCTTCTACATTTGAAATGACCTTCTTTTTGGCAGCAGCTGTCCTTGGTTGCTCTTCTTCCTCAGCTCCATTTGTTTTCGAATTTTTCTCTCGACAGCAACAATTTCAGCCTTGGCTTCGAATAGGATCTTTTCCAAAGACCTCTTTCGTTCTTTAACAGCTTGCTGTATGCCAGCCTTCGTGTGATTATCATGAAGTCTTTGACCACAAATGCGACAGATGCAAACCTTGCATTTTCGACAATAATATACACATTCTTCGTCCACGTGATATCTGCACATGGTTAATAAGCTCTTCGAATGTGTTTTTTCAAGGATAATACCTAAAAAAGCAAGATAAATGAATTTATAAACAGAATGGGGGTATAGATTTCTTATAGCTTTGGGAGCTCTGAAGCTTCGTAGGCATCCGATCGTGTATTTTGTTACATAAAACAGATTTCTAAATTTTCATACTCAGATCAGTCCGAAGGGACCCAACTGGCATATCGCCTCTATTAAAAGAAATTCAATCTACTAATTCAATCAATCAATGGTGAGCTCTTACTCCAATCAGAGCTTCAAATTCCTTTTTGGATTTGTATTTATATTATTACTCTAAACTTAAAATCCTTCCAAAATCAGTTGTACTTCATCATCTTAATGCATAAACCTCTAAGTGCCTTCTCTAAAAGTTGATTTGTCTCAATCACTGCAGGTAAATTAATTACGATAGGAGCTGTTTCCCAAAGATAAAACCCACTAGCGATCCAAATATGATGTCATCATTTCTTTCAAATCATACCTTTATCAGGAACTTCCTTAGCTGGTGCCAAGGCGTCCATCTTTTTCATGATCTCGTCCAGCTGATCTTTAATGTTGTCCTCGTCCTTCTTCCACTCACTAAGTAGTTCCATGTAGTGATCTTCAACTTCAGGATCCATGCACTCGTTTCTAAGATCGTCAATTGCAGCTTTATAAGAAACACCTCCTAGTCTGACCAGAGTATCCCGGATGTCACACCAGTAGTCATTGAACTTCACGTCATCAACAGAAGCATTCTCAGCGTGACCGTACACAGTGTTCCTAAAATACTTAACTCAGGCGATGTCTGCTTCCCTGCTGAGGTCTGTTACGGCTAGCATTGCGTCCCAACCGGTCAGCGGAGCAGTAAAGCCGCGCAGGTTTCGTAGCATCGAATGAATGTGTCGATACTGAGTTAGGGATGGCAGGGAAAAGCTTCCCCCATTGTGTTGGATTGATAATCCTCTTTGCTGAGAGATTGTAAGGTGGGTTTGTTTGCCGCCAAAACTGTGTATAGATTTGTTGGTGGATGGAGAGAGTTCAATGTGTCTCGAAGAGCCTGGGTTCCAATATCAACCAGCAGACGGCACAACCTGGCGTGGTTTGTTGTCTCTTTAGTGGATGAAGTAGTCGGAGCAGCACTGGCCATGACAAGTGTCTGTTAAAGAACTAAATATTTAACATTCATGAACCAACAGAATGATAGTAATTGTCTTACAAACCCTCGAGTCATGATTACACACAATGTCTTGTCACACATGATGGCTCCAAAAAATACCCCGTGGAGGTAAACATCGCTGATATTTTAGCCACAAAACTTCCCCTAATTTTTTTTCTTATGGTTAAATTAAGAATAATAATTTATGCCAAGCCATTGCCACCCGAGGGAGTAATCAAATATGCAACTTCATGATAATAACTCACAGTGTAACAAAACACTTGCTTGCATAACTTTGACCTCTAATTTCAACCAACTGTTAAATACATTTGTTTCCAAGCTGGTCCCTTAAAGAGAAAACTTCAAAATAAATAGGTTTCTTTGTTGAATAGTTTGTTTTCATTCGGGTTTGAAAAAGTGACTGACAAATTTTCAAATTTAGAAGCGATCTCTGCATGTTTGAATCTAAATGTATGAATGACTTCCATAATTTTGTGGGTTTGTGAGTCAGAGGTATTTTTCGTGATAATCACGATATTTTAACAGGGAACTGGCTGAAATCTCATCACTTTGCTGAGGTGGCCTGGAGTGGTATGGTGGCGACGAATAATTACTTGCACCCTATGATTAAAGGCCCTTACTTTTACATTTGAATTTTTCAAGTAAAATTTAACACTACACAGACTGTCTCAAGCGGCATTGACTATTCACCGTGTACAAGAGAATATCAATAGTTTATAATCTCTTTCCGTGTATGATCAACAACACACTTACTGAATGGATGGAACGTAAATGAACAAGACAAACTCAGTGATGAAAAGCAAAATGAAATGCTTGGCGCAATCAGTTAAGTTTGTCGTTTGCAGGAATTTCGATGAAATCCATTGAAAAGATCTGAAACTATTTCATGAAACACCTAATCAAAATGAGCACGGGTGACTGATCAGCTTGTGTTTGAGCGAGAAATTTTGCTTCGGACGACATATCAAATTGTCTCTATCATTAGGGAAAGACATATTATATCGAATACTGATTCAAACGTACAATAAACATCTATTTGTATCGAGTCATGAGTAACAAACCTCTAGTCGCGGATTCGTCTGAGAGAGTCCCAGCGAAGCAACAGCAAACGTCACCAAGCAGAAAGTTGATACACAGGGTACCCAAACTCACATAGGAGTGTGAATCACAGCTGCATATCAAAATTGTGAGGGTTCATGGGAACTTTCGGCATAGAGGAAATAAATACCACAACAACAATGGATGTTTTTTTTATTCTGTGCTCTATGACTTAAAGTAGTTTTAAAAGTCATAATAATTTTTTAAAGGAATTATCGTTTGTTATTAATCTTTACTGAAGCTTTTATTTCATCAGCGTTGCCGCGGGCGACAAAATAGTGACGAATCAGGGAGTTTATCCGCGTAGCTTCTATGTGCCAGTTAGTGGCGACATCTCCAGCTTAAATTAAATAATTTCTTTTCGTCAGCAGAGCACTACTAAGTAAATAAGCGGTGATATACGGCTTAATTACTCAAGATTGCGCGGTTTGCCGAAACATTTCAGCGCCAGCGCTCCGAGCGCTTTCTGAGGGCTTATTGTCGTGTGTGTCAAGATTAAGATAGCGCTCGCTGACCACAGCTACAGGTCGTTCGATCAGCGATCTTGCCACAACATTTCCATTTTTTTCGCAAATGACATGGCTTTTTCAGCGATTTTCTTCGCATCACGGTTTCACTCGCTCGTTTTTTTGTAAATAAAAGAAGGAAATTATTCTGGCCAGTTTTATTCAAGTTGGTTTTAGAATAAATTCGAATGTGTATATTCTTGGATTTCCCACAAAACTTAACACGGTTTGGAATCCGTGAGAAGAAGTACTCCGCCAACATGATCAATCTGCTGGCAATTTCTTTTGTACAATAGATGCAAGAGCTACATGTACATGTATCCCGAGGGGCTGTAGCGTGACCAAAATCACAATTTTTCAAACTTCTGTTCTTTTAAAACAACTGCACGTGATATCTCAAGCCTGAGGTCGAATCACAATTCAATGAATTCAGTGAAGCGGCAAGAATAACGTTTTACGCGTGTTACTTGCACAATTTTTAAAAGAAACTTTTATGTCCCTACAGGTGTGTTTAGTGCAGCGCAAGACCTGAAGATGGAGTGGGTTGTCGTCTCTAATGAAATGAGTTTACTTTCCCTTGTCAACTTTGGCTAATTTTCATTACTGCACAGGTCCTGGGTATGAGTAACAGCCGAAACTCTTACGGCGTGACATAACGAAATTGTTCATCCTGCAGAGTAGCGAGCGATTTGTTCGTGATTTTTCCTCTGAGATTACAGGTTAGTTTCATACCTTTTTTATATAAAGAGCGTTTTGATCGACATAATTTGTCAGCCACTTTTTCTTCAGATAGTGATGTCAAACTAGATTTTGCAATTGTTACGAGTCTTACAAAAAGTTGTATTGTCGAATGCCCAGTGAATAATGGTCATGAGTGACCCATTATAAATAACCGGAGAAAAACTTCTCAGCATTTACTGTAGGCATCAAAAGAGCAAGTTTTTAAATGCCTGATCGATCTCAGGTCTGAAACAGATAAACATGCATAATTTCATCCTTATAATTATACGTTCATTACGCTTCGTACTGGAGACCTCCATAACTCAATATTAATTGACTTCTTTTCAAATTTCCAGCGGTGATTTCTAGTTTAGTTGCATTCAGTACACTTCCGATCAGCTCTGTTACCGGCGTTATAACGCACCCGGGAAAACACGGCGATAAAGCACAGAGTGTACTTGTGCCCTCAAGAATATTGTTCATCAGCAGAGTTGAGAATTTAATTTTTTTGGGACGATAGGGAAAGAAATGCAAGTTACAGCAAATTATTTCCTCTTTCTCCAGAAAACAAAATTTACATCTTTGCTTCCAGTTTCCAACTGTAACTGGATTATCTTTCACATGAAATGTGACACGTTTTCTCTAGTATGGGGATTACTTATTAAGAATAATGTTGTGAATAAATATGTTAAGACAGGACTCGCTCATGGCCAGTGCTGCACCAACTGCTTTATCCACAAAGGAAACAACAAACTATGCCAGGTTGTGCCGTCTGCTGGTTGATATTGGAACCCAAGCTCTTCGAGATACGTTTGATGCCATCCATGCACCAGGAAATTTACACTCAGTTTTGGCGGCAAAGAAGCCCACCTTACAATCTCTTAGAAAGAAGAAGGTTATCAATCACATACAATGGGGGAAACTTTACCCTGCCATCCTTACCTCAGTGTCTTCTCGTGACTTTGACACAACTTTGCTGATGGTTCTGTTGCGGAACCTATGTGGCTTAACTGCTCCGCTGACCGGCTGGGACGCATTGCCTGCCGTAACAGACCTTAGCAAGGAAGCAGACATTGCCCGAGTTAAGTATTTTAGGAACACTGTGTACGGTCACGCTGAGAAAGCTTCTGTTGATGACGTGAAGTTCAATGACTACTGGCGTGACATCAGGGACACTCTGGTCAGACTGGGAGGTGTTACTTATGAAGCTGCCATTGACAATCTTAGAAACGAGTGCATGGACCCTGAAGTTGAAGATCACTTCATGGAATTACTGAGTCAATGGAAAAAGGACGAGAACAACATTAAAGATCAGCTGGACGTAATTAAGAAAAATCTTGAAGTCCTGACGTCAAAAGATGAAGGTAAGATACATAAGTAATTTGTAAATTATCATGGATGAAAAGGTTGAAAGCCTATCATTTTTTAATATGTTCGGTAAGAGAGGAGTTTTTCGTTGCTACAAAAAGGAGTCGGGCCCGCCCTTTGACCTTCCCGACTAATACTTTTGACGGACTAGCACTCAGTTGTAGGTGAAATGACATAACAGCCCCACCCTTACCCCATACTTTTTGGATATGAATGACAAATGTAATGCTTTCCTGTAATGATAAAAATGAGGATGCAACATTAATATTTACAACCATTGGGGATTTAAGTGAAACAGTTCTTTCACTGAAGGACACAGAAGAAGAAATGCTCAGTTTAGGAGTCGACCATCAGACCATTATCAGAAATCAAATTTAAATGTTGGGGATTTTGTATAGGTTTTTATCGTAAGACGGAAGGGGGTGATGCCCACGGTCTGTATCACACCCAGGGGCTTGTTCCATTGGTCATAAAGCGCTACAGCTTATGAATGTTTACAGGAGTGTTAATAGTTTCCAGCCATGCTCTCTTCCTGATGGTTAATAAATTTTTCGTGCCAGATCAAGCTCCTTTTGGAAATCGAGTTGACAGAGAAAACCATGGGAGCTGTTTATTTAGTTCTATTCTGGGGATATTGACTGGAAATGTCGATCTGCATAGTGGCCAGGTACGTGCATATCCGTCGCTGAAGCGTCTTATCAGCCATATCTTAGGGTTTATATCATTTATCACTGAGCTGGAAAACGAAATAAACAATTCCAGAATCATTAATTTTAGTTAATGCTAAAACAGTGGATAGCGTTGAAGGCGCGCCCTAATTGGCTACTCAAAGTCCGAATGTAACGTACTCTGATATTCACCGCCTAGCAACTCGCGCGGGATTTGCCCCCAAAAATATTTTAATCTTTTCAAAAATAAAGTTAAAACCATCTTTTTGTATTAAATCATCTTACTGTTTTACTAGTACATACTGAAACAACTTTTCAGTTGATCTCAGTGTCGTTGGCTACCCATGGATATTTACCTCACATCTGCGCAGGTCGGTAAATGGCCACCAGCCACCTTCACTTTGGTGAATAACTGTTGACTAGAATTTGTGAATGATCGTGAAATTTAAATTACAAACAGTTTCAATGATCTCAAGGCAAACGATATCGAAGGGTTCAAACGTTCTCTTTCTCCAAATCAGTTGGATATCTTATTTAATATATATGAATAACGCTTTAAAAGAAACCAAAATTATAAATGAAATAAATAAATAAACTTTATTCAAGTGTCGTGTAATTTTAGCATGGTATTGCTAATTGGGGACATCGTAACATAAATAACAAAAAATAAAAGATATACACTCAAACGTGTGGGAATTAAAAAAAACTATTATAAACATGCTACAAGTAATAGAAATATAGAGTTGTGTGTATATGAACAATGCTAAGAATTGTGGGATTATAGTTTAAGAATGACACAGAAAACCGCCAATTGGATATTTCTCGAGCAAAAAACTTTCTGGGTCCATTTATACAAGTAAGTATGCTTCCCTGATAGAAAGTTTTCCATAGTTTAAACATGTATTATATCTCGGTATAACAAAGTCTGATGTACGTAAATTGTAATTAGTTTCTATTATTTGGAATAATTCAGAGATGTACTTTGGAGATAGTCCATTTTTGACGTTGAACATTTACACCATTAGGTCTTGCAATCTTCTATTACGCAATGTTGGTAATCCTGCTTTCTTTGATAGATTTTCGTATGTTGATACTCTTTCCTTGAAAACTCCGCTCTCCGTCCCTTTTCCTGTATCCTCTCCAGTTTCCGCTGAACAGATGCTCTAAAGAATAGTTTAGCTTCGGGAGAATTACCCCTTTATACAGATGTAACTTCGTCTTTTCGGGAACTAGGTGCTTCATTCTCGAGAGGACAACAATTTTGCAATTTGCTTTCTGACAGACTTGTTAAATATGTGCACCAAAGCTAAGTTTATTATCTATAAGGACTCCTACTGATAGTGTTAAGGAACTCCAATTCAATTTCTTCATTGTTAATGAAAATCTGCGCCTCTTGCGTATTCCTTGCTTTTGAGGCTAGACACAGTGTCTGGAATTTGTCTTTGTTTGCCGGCAGGAAATTATTTTTATACCAGTCGCATACAATCTGAGCCTCGTTGTTTAACAGAGTAGCAATGTTTCAATCAGCTGATGAGAGGCACATATTTGAAGATCGTCTGCGTACGTAGAAAAATCACAGTTGTTAATACTATAACTTAATAAGTCATTCTGAAACACGTTCCATAGCAATGGTTCGAGACATGATCCTTAAGGGCAGCCTTCTCTTATATCGTGCCAAGAGCTGTTAACTCTAGCAAACTTAACCCTTGCTTGCCGATCTTGGAAATACGATCTTAAGAGAAGCAATGACTCGTCAGAGAAATTACAGGCTTGTAGTTTCTTGATCATAAGCGACGGAAGGAGAGAGTCAAATGCTTTGCTAGTGTCAGTAGAGGTGACCCCCACAAACTTTCCTTTGCCAATGGCTAGTCTCCAAACTTCTACGAATTTTATTAGGGCTGTCTGACAGCTTTGACCATTTCTGTAGGTTGACATGTTTTGGGAAAGATGCGAATCCACTTTAGTTACTACTAGCCTGCTTAGCAACAGTTCAAAGATTTTGTTTACAACATTTAACACTGTCACGGGCCTATAGTTCTTCTCCTTTTTTTTTCATCTTTCTTGAAAACAGGTACCCAATCCCTTCTCTTCCATCTCTTGGGACAATACCCAGATGTTATTGATAGATTAAAGATTTTGTTAGTGAGGGTGCAAGTTCCTTTGCGGCTAGCTTCAAGATTCCTGGCGGTATTAAGTCGGAACCAGTGGACTTTGAAGGATTAAGACCATCTAAGGCTTTAGCAGTTTCGCCTTAAGAGATCTCTGTAAATGTGAACGTATCAGTAGAAGGCCAGTTGTTTTCAATGTTTGTGACACTTGGATGGCTGTAAAATCGTCCTCTGTTGAAGATAAGCTAGATTTACCACCAGTATCGTTAGCAAAGGTAGAAAAATAACCAGCAAATCCTTTCCCAACTACGTTTTGGTCTTTAGCTACAGTTCCATTAACATTCAGTGACATACAATCATTAGCGGAGGATCAATTTCCGTTTGCCAGAAGAGGTTTGAAAGTTTTGAAGAATTCCCGTGGTTTAGATTTCAATTCCTCAGATTTTTACTTTAGGGATTGTTTTTTAATTAATTTTTTTTAAATTTAAATTTACTTCTTTCATCCTAAGCTCACATTTAAAGGACGAGCAATTTACTACAACTCCCACGCAAGGTTTCACTCTTTAAAAGAACCTTGGGTTTACGACGCCAGAGCCTGTGACATAGAGAGTGGTATCAGCTGTGAGGCACGTGGTTATCATGTCAGGTACGATGCTGTGCAGAATGCTGTGGAGAAACTCAAGGGAATGCTCAAGAGCGAAGGGCTCCTTTACGAGTCGTGATTTGGCATGCATGTTTCTCTGCAAAGTGTAGATCAATTCGAAGCTTCAACATCCCCCGAGCAACCCACTGGCATTTGACCGTCGCCCGTGCCCAGGGTTGGGCAATTTGAACCTTGCTTGGCTGGGGCGGGGATTTTGAACCAGAAGTGTTAAGTCTTTCCAGCAAAACAAACCAGTCTTTAAAAGTTCAGATACCGTGGGTTTGCTCGAGGGAGGACGTTGAAGCTTCGATTTGATCGACGCATAAGGAAACACAAAACGCATGAACGACTTGGGGCCAAACTAGGCAAAAACTCGTAAGAAGCTTAAAGGAAAGACTTAATATAGACTTAGTACTATTTACATCTTATTAAATAAGGCTTAGCATTAATAGTTGCAAGGTTTTCAGTACATTTACAAACATTTGTTACATTTTACTAAGGTAAGAAAAAAATTATTCAACGAATTCGCAGAACAGGTTGAAAAAGCTGCAAAGATGACATCCATCTCGCCCTACCCGTTCACTATGATTAACTCGACGATCTTTCATGCTTCTGTACTTGACTTTCCAATCCTGTCTGTCCTTAATGTTGCCGCAATGACTTATTTCCTACTTTTTAGCCATTTCTTTCTCAATCGTTTGATTGTGTTGTTCTGTTGTTTCCTCCGAGTTTGCTTTTTTCTGTCCAATGTGTTTTATTTTGTTTGCTTGTTTTGTTTTGTTTTTTTAACAGATTTGATTTTTTTTACGGTTTTTAGATTTGATTTGATTTTTTGTGTGTAATTTGGTCTCTTTGTTGTCTCATATATTTGTTTTAAATTTTACCATTGTTTTTTTATTGGATTTTCATAATTCTTTTGTTTCTTTGCCGTGTTAATTTTTTCTGTTGTTTCTTATGATGAAAACATTGGCGTTTTGACTTATGAAAAAGTGCAAAAATCCTTCTCTAAATTAGCCAAATATCATCTCTGCAGCTCGTCTTGAAACAGCAAGCTTTCATATGGAAATATATTCACGTACATTTCGAGTTGATGCATGTTTAAACTAACTGTGTCTGATAAAAAAATAAGAAAAATGACTTCAAAGCAACGAAGCAGTCTCAGATCTGTTTCAGCACATACTGAGCTCCAACTTTACAACCAAACTCAAAACATTACAAGCCTATGTGCAGCAACAGAGCTGTCCTGAAATAACTAATTAATATAATTAGCATTCAGAAAGTTTGTTCATCGTACTATGTTTAACATAGAAAACTTATTTCTTTTGAATAATTTGTGAAATACTCAACTTAAGTTGTTCATCAAAGCTTTGGATAAACAACCGAATATACTAAAGATAATTGGCTGTGAACTCAAAATGTCCCTGGTTTAGTTACACGAATAAAACATAAAACTTTCGAAAATACAAAATAGGTTTCAGAATGTCAAAAATAATTTGCTGTATATCGGTAAATTAATATATAGTTATAAAAGCAATAAAAAAAAGGAAAAGAAAAGAATATAATGAATTTAAAAGTTAGAGATGTTTGGTGACAAAATCTAACATACCAGGAAACAAATGGTAGAAGAAAAAATGAAGAGTAGAGAAAGTTCAGCCTCCTAAGTACGTTTTCATTCAAATATATCTGTGGCATTTTTTGCTGTAAAAGTTTTAATTAGCCATAAATTATTTGATTGACCACGGTTTAACAACCTGCGATTTGTTCTTTGTTGTAATTATTCCCCCCCCCCTTTATTCCAGCATGTATTTTAGATATCTATACATTGATTACTATCCTGTTCTAAAAGTCTCACCTTGGATATCATTGAGGTACTTTTTGGACTTTGTCATAACAATCCTTTGCTTCATTTCTCTACTGCAAAACATCAGACAAATTTAAGATTAAGATCAGGGGAGGTTAGAAGAGCTTGATTCTTAAGCGCAGGGGGAAGGGAAGAATCTGGCCCACCCTGAGAGGCCTCCAAGCATTTAATCGACAAGCTATATTGTAATCGACGAGCTAATGTAAGTCGAAGGAAAATATGAGCATAGGATAAGACTAATATACAGCTATCTATCGAGGATAAATAAGTTAATCATAAGAAATACAATCTCGTCAATTGTGACTGGTTTAAAAAACTCCTATTTTCCACAAATTCATCCACTTGCCGAGTTGTTATCGGACAGTTTGTTATCGGATAGTTCAATTAGCCAATCACATTCAAAGTTTTAGTTTAAATCAAGAGCGACAATCAGTCTTTTAATTCAATTTTTCAGTTCTTTCATAACTTGGTTTTCTCGGAAATTGTACGACTTATAATTGGACGACTTCGTGTCGTCCAATTCGGTTGTAAGTAATCATGCTCGTCACTGTCGTCCGATTTTTTTATCACTCGTATGATTACAGACCGAATTGGATCCCACTCAGTCCTATTACAATCACTAATTGTACTGAATAGTCTCTGAATAACTTTGCGTATTAGATAATTGTGTTATTTGCTGGTCTAATTCTTCTTTATATAAATTTTTACCAAAACGGATACAACGAATACTCACAATCACTTAAGAAATGGGCGGAGGAAAAGAAGAGCGATCCAGGAACCTAAAAAGGAAAATAGTACATAGGTGTGCATAGATATGGAATTTCTCTTCGAGTGTTGACTACTCACTGGCTCATGAATGAGACAACAGAATACTGACGAGAAGGAGTGTATATCATATTTGTCTGCTTATATATCATTTAGATTACCCATTAAAGAAACATACCAAAACCTAAGAATATTCTTCAATTTCTGGTAGATCTCTTTTCCGAGCCCATACTTGATAACGCATTTTTCACTGCTTCCGCCATGAACGACAATAAAAAATTATGCGTACCCACGTAAGTGAGGATAAAAGCTTCACGGTATCTGCCAAAAGCAAAAGACGTTCTATCGTTGGTAACTGTTGTGCAAACGGATTACATGTTGCAACATCCTTTAGGGCCTATCAAAAAAAAAAAAAAAAAAAAAAAGGAAAAAAACGTAGGGCGTGATTGGAAAGAGGCTAATGAGACACGAGGTTTGATAATTCATGATAGCATGAGAAAATCGAATTCAGTGATTGTTAATTATAATTATACATTCTTTTTGCACTTAGAACTGAGCTTATATGATTTTGATACTTACGAGATCAATTATCTCACGGTCTGTTTGAATTCCTTCCTATTTTTGAAATGATCTTTCTTCGGAAGTTTATTTGTATCTATAAAGATGATATCTTTGCCATCTGCCGTTCAAACTCCTGCAAAATAAATTGACCAGAAATTACATGTATTTACATCAAAACTGAGAGGCATCCAGCGCACAAGTCTAAGACCTGACTGACGTGTAATAACATCTTTTCATTTCATCCTTGGTGCCATCAAAAATAAACTAAAAAAGCGAAAATAAGGCAAGTACAAATGAATGTTCTGGCCTTGGTTTTCAAAACTCAATATGAAACCATAAAGCTTTATTCAGTCCTGGGTATAAATAATTGATGAATCGGTACCCATATTGATTGGACTCTGGCACGTCACTGTCAAACAGGATCAAATAGGATCTCTTCCGTGACTTGGTCTTCCTCAGCTTCGGTGATATTACGCCAGAAAGCCCCAGGGGCTGTCCTGCGGGGCTGTCCTGTTCTGCCCCAGGCCGGAGCAAAAAATTGTGGAGTGTAAGGGCGCATGTCAAATTTCTAACTCTGAAACTTCGTTCTTTAACGTAAACGAGTTTTTTTCTGAATTTGTCTCGATTAACTTTTAACTTACATCCAACATAGCAATACTAACACTACGTAAAAACACTTACAGTAGTTACCATACAAACAATGCATACTTACAACACTACCCCTGTTCCTATTTATACTTATCAATACTCACGTTTATGACTACTTACAAAAGAATTTTTCTCTTAAACTAGCTTACAATGCAAATTATATGATGCTTACCCTACTTGCATCACGAATTTTAAATCAATAAGGAGCTTACTCTTTATACTAAAATAATAATATTTACATTGTACAAGATGAGGTTATACAATGAGAGGTAGACTACAGCACAACAAAGACACAATGCAGATACTTCAGCTTGCTGACTTTATTTAGGTCATCAGCCCTCGTACTTTCCAAGCTACAATCATGTTATCCCATTACCTTAGCTTACGAGAGAAAATAGATACAGTAGCATTCATTTACACTATAGCAATACAAGGTTAAGTGCGCTCAGTCTTTTCTGTTGCGTCTCTAGAAGCGATAACTGAATCCTCGTGTGTATATTTGGAGTAAAAGCGCAAGGTCTCATCCTTTCTCATCAGGAAAATGTGAGAAGTTGGACTATGTAAAGTGTGAGGTAATGATCATTTTCTTATAAAAGAATGGATCATGAGGGTCAGTTTATATAAGTTACCTCAGAACTTTTGTCGTCCTCTGATGGTTCATCCTTCACTCTCCACGCCACGAGGTTGGAGAAAATTGCCATATCAAAGGAAGTGCTTGCCAATATGGTGAACAACTTTCATTTCCTGATGCTGCCAGCTTAAAAAAAAATTGTGAAAAATTGTTCACATGTCAAATTGAGCCGCGAATTAGCTTATTACCCCAAAGGATAAGCGGTCAAATCTGAAAAAAAAACTACGACGTATCTTTATATGATATTTGCTGAAGAAAGTAAAGTTTCCTGTTGTAATATTTCGCCCGAAGAATCTTTGCACTGGCTCATAGAAGTCTCACCTTCCACGGTATGGTTCCTTTTATCTCTTTTGTAGATAACATTGCTTTGGTAGTTAATTATAACATGTGCCGCATTTGCTTGCTTCAGATACCCGGCTTAGACTGACAGTCGTTAATACATATTGACTTTAATAGATTCTTACACCCAAACTGTTTCGATTGGATACAGCTTATTACAGACCTCTTCTTGTGAACAGGGACAAGGCTTTGCCAAGTCGCCAACTGAATCGTTTGCGGCAGCAAAATGTTAGAAAAAAAAACTTATCTTCATAAATTAAATCTCCTTCTAGTC